TGTAGCGGTGAAGTTAATTAGCAGATGGAATAAATAATCTTGTGATTGTGGATACGAGTAGTACTTTTAACTTAATTCAGCTCTGGCCCCTGGAGTCAACGGTGGCGTCGAGTATTATAGTACTACCCCTAGTTCCTGCCTGGTGAAAAATTAAAAACGAGAAAAATAAATTGCCGGGCGGGGCAGGGCAATATTGCAGCTACGAAAGTATATATTTTAGAACAGTCCAGACAGAGCGGAGGAGTTTGGCTGATCTGAAAGTCAATAAATTATTCTCTAGTACTCCCGTCAATCTATATGATTTAGTAAAATGTTATACTAAATCGGGGAGTACTTAACTTAGTTTGACCTAAAGTCCATAAAATTATTCTCTAGTACTTGGTTAGTTCAAAGATGCATGACGATAACAACAATAAAGAAACAATGAAGCAAAGAAACCATTCGACCTTCTTGGACCGTTATATATTGCATGTAAGAATTGCACAGCTAGACACAGAACAACTCAGCCCACCTCGTACAACAGATACTGCCTCTACTGTATAAGAGCGTAGACAACAAAAAAATAACAACAACATAATTAAAAACCGGTCTAACTCAGGTTAAACACACAATGAAGCAACCGCTCGTAATAACCTCCATAAAAAACCTAAACTCTTGACCGAAGAACAGGATGACAAAGCGCGCGTCAGCCTGTAGTAAGTATTAAAATGCACAGGTCCAACCCAGGTTTGACCTACCTAGCGTGTTGATTAATGCTACCTCGGCCATATTTTGTAAAAAAATAGACACCCTGGAACCAAAAAGACAATTGACCATTTGATCATCGCGTGTCCGTTTGGTGTGGCTTGTTGGCTGAAAGTTGGAATTTCATGGAGTCCGAATCAAACGCGGATTGAGGCCATCCAAGCTGTTAAACAGAGCTTCTTCGGAGACTTACTTTTTGAGATTGTGGGTATTGTTGCCTGGAATATTTGGAAAGAGCGAAACAACTTCATTTTCAGGCACATCAATCCTACTTTGGCCGCTTGGAGAGAGAGGACCAAGTCAGATCTTCTCTGGCTGAAATATAGAGTGGACAAAGCTTTTTGGGACTACATTACTCTGTTAGCTCGTTCTTTGTAATTTTATAATCCCTCCTTGATCTCCTTACAAATCTTAAACACTTAGGTTTTTCTTTCTGCTAGTACTTCTTTAGTTTCTTCCTTCCTTGAGGACTCCCATCAATACCTTGTACTATCATGTAAAGTCACCCTATATTTAATATAGCACAGTAGGAGCCTCTCCTATGGTTTCAAGATCAAAAATAAAGAAAGAAAAAGAAATAGACACCCTCAAAAGTGATATTTTCGAATTTCTTTTGGTTATTATATGTGCTTTACTGCAGCGTGTGAAAAGCACAAGGTATTCAGATTTTGGATGGAGCCACTTGAAGATGGTAGTTCGAGCTTTATTTAGCAGATATGAGTGATGGCCTAGTAGTGGAATCATGAGTGGTACGAATTGTTGTGTATTGTTGTACCTTTTTAGTGTAGTGAAATACTATGTATTAACATTCTGTAGTAGATGGTTGTGCACATTCATCGATCCAAAGATCAGGAACATTCTCTCATTCTGGAAAAAAATGTTCCAATTAATGATTGGATTCAAACAAGATGGGTTTCAGCATAAACATCCTCATAGAGTATTAAGCTTGAAGTCACCCGTCTTCTTTATATATATTGACAGAACATTCACGACTTTACAAACAACAACCAAGGTAGTGTAATGGAAGGTGCATACATATAGACAAAAGTATGTATATTTCAGCAGTATTTGTAGCTATATGTGGCAATGTACTTCCTCTACTCGGTGGGGTAGGAAGGTTGCATGGCCAAGCCACACATACCACTCTTGTCAGAAATATCCTTCTCCATTCTGAGGTACCCACTCTCGCCCCATGTCGTGCCCCATGAGTTTTTCAGTAGCCAATACTTAGTTCCGTCACTTGTCATGCCATATCCAATAGCTGCTATGCCATGGTCCAAATCAGTCCCACATGAGCCGGTCATTACCCCGCCGGAGTAATGTTGAAATATGACATCCCCTCCGTCCACAGCTACTGACACAGGCTGGTTAGCCACGGCTTTCATAAGAGAAGATTCGTCGTTGGCGGGCACATCCTCGTAGCCCTTGATGGTTGCAACATTGTTGCTTGCAATGCTTGTCTTGCATTGTCCGTCTTGTGCCGTGTAGGGGTAGTTGGCCTCGGTGGTGAGGCCGCCATTCTTGATGATGAACTTGAAGGCATCGTCCATCTCACCACCCTCACAACCCTGATCAACACCATGAACGTCACAGTCAACTAGCTCTTGTTCCGACAGAGAGACTAGCTTCCCGGAGCTCAACTTCACAATGCCTTCGGTTGCGGCCACAGCTGAAAAGGCCCAGCAGCAGCCTGCAATAATAGTGTTGTCCTTAGTGTGATTTCAGTTATCATGGGAACATGATATATAAACTTGGCCAAACTTCAGAAAGTTTGACTTAAGACAAACCTAATATGCGAACCAAAAATAAACAAAGGGAGTACTACAAAAATTTTCTTACCACATTGGCCTTGGTCTTTGATAGGAGTAACGGCACCCTTGGTTCTCCAATCAACAGCGGCTGGAAGTGCATCGGTGCTGACATTGTTGTACTTGAACCCGGTTGGAGCCTGGCTACCGCTCCTCTTGAGGCCCTTGTTGGTCTTGGTTGCCTTGAACTCATCATTGGTGAGGTCGGTAAACTGGTTGACACCGAGCCAGAACTTGTGGTTTCCGGCGTTGAACGACTCGATGAAGGCAACGTTGGCCTTGAATACCTCATACCGATGTGCCTTCTCGGTGCCGTCCTTGTAAACGCGGTTGAACTTCGCCATCCACTGCTCATGCCTCTCCACCATGGTCGCGTCGTTGAGCTCATGAGCTGACATAACAGCACTGCTGCATAAGCAGATGCAACCTAGAATGGCAAGAAGAAAACCCTTGGGGATGGCCATGATGTGCTCGATTAGTGCTTAGTTGCTGGTGGTTTGGTCTATCGAGAATGTGTGGAATGCAATGTGTTTATATAGCTGCAGTCCTGCACATGTACGTAGAAGGCACAGTGTGCTCTCGAATGATAGTGTGAAGATGAATAACAACGTAGCAGTGAAGTTAATTAGCAGATGGAATAAATAATCTTGTGATTGTGGATACGAGTAGTACTTTTAACTTAATTCAGCTCTGGCCCCTGGAGTCAACGGTGGCGTCGAGTATTATAGTACTACCCCTAGTTCCTGCCTGGTGAAAAATTAAAAACGAGAAAAATAAACTGCCGGGCGGGGCAGGGCAATATTGCAGCTACGAAAGTACATATTTTAGAACAGTCCAGACAGAGCGGAGGAGTTTGGCTGATCTGAAAGTCAATAAATTATTCTCTAGTACTCCCGTCAATCTATATGATTTAGTAAAATGTTATACTAAATCGGGGAGTACTGAACTTAGTTTGACCTAAAGTCCATAAAATTATTCTCTAGTACTTAGTTAGTTCACAGATGCATGACGATAACAACAATAAAGAAACAATGAAGCAAAGAAACCAATCGACCTTCTTGGACCGTTATATATTGCATGTAAGAATTGCACAGCCAGACACAGAACAACTCAGCCCACCTCGTACAACAGATACTGCCTCTACTGTATAAGAGCGTAGACAACAAAAAAATAACAACATAATTAAAAACCGGTATAACTCAGGTTAAACACACAATGAAGCAACCGCTCGTAATAACCTCCATAAAAAACCTAAACTCTTGACCGAAGAACAGGATGACAAAGCGCGCGTCAGCCTGTAGTAAGTATGAAAATGCACAGGTCCAACCCAGGTTTGACCTACCTAGCGTGTTGATTAATGCTACCTCGGCCATATTTTGTAAAAAATAGACACCCTGGAACCAAAAAGACAATTGACCATTTGATCATCGCGTGTCCGTTTTGTGTGGCTTGTTGGCTGAAAGTTGGAATTTCATGGAGTCCGAATCAAACGCGGATTGACGCCATCCAAGCTGTTAAACAGAGCTTCTTCGGAGACTTACTTTTTGAGATTATGGGTATTGTTGCCTGGAATATTTGGAAAGAGCGAAACAACTTCATTTTCAGGCACATCAATCCTACTTTGGCCGCTTGGAGAGAGAGGTCCAAGTCAGATCTTCTCTGGCTGAAATATAGAGTGGACAAAGCTTTTTGGGACTACATTACTCAGTTAGCTCGTTCTTTGTAATTTTATAATCCCTGCTTGATCTCGTTACAAATCTTAAACACTTAGGTTTTTCTTTCTGCTAGTACTTCTTTAGTTTCTTCCTTCCTTGAGGACTCCCATCAATACCTTGTACTATCATGTAAAGTCACCCTATATTTAATATAGCACAGTAGGAGCCTCTCCTATGGTTTCAAGATCAAAAATAAATAAATAAAAAGAAATAGACACCCTCAAAAGTGAGATTTTCGAATTTCTTTTGGTTATTATATGTGCTTTACTGCAGCGTGTGAAAAGCATAAGGTATTCAGATTTTGGATGGAGCCACTTGAAGATGGTAGTTCGAGCTTTATTTAGCAGATATGAGTGACGGCCTAGTAGTGGAATCATGAGTGGTACGAATTGTTGTGTATTGTTGTACCTTTTTAGTGTAGTGAAATACTATGTATTAACATTCTGTAGTAAGATGGTTGTGCACATTCATTGATCCAAAGATCAGGAACATTCTCTCATTCTGGAAAAAAATGTTCCAATTAATGATTGGATTCAAACAAGATGGGTTTCAGCATAAACATCCTCATAGAGTATTAAGCTTGAAGTCATCCGTCTTCTTTATATATATTGACAGAACATTCACGACTTTACAAACAACAACCAAGGTAGTGTAATGGAAGGTGCATATATATATAGACAAAAGTATGTATATTTCAGCAGTATTTGTAGCTATATGTGGCAATGTACTTCCTCTACTCGGTGGGGTAGGAAGGTTGCATGGCCAAGCCACACATACCACTCTTGTCAGAAATATCCTTCTCCATTCTGAGGTACCCACTCTCGCCCCATGTCGTGCCCCATGAGTTTTTCAGTAGCCAATACTTAGTTCCGTCACTTGTCATGCCATATCCAATAGCTGCTATGCCATGGTCCAAATCAGTCCCACATGAGCCGGTCATTACCCCGCCGGAGTAATGTTGAAATATGACATCCCCTCCGTCCACAGCTACTGACACAGGCTCGTTAGCCACGGCTTTCATAAGAGAAGATTCGTCGTTGGCGGGCACATCCTCGTAGCCCTTGATGGTTGCAACACTGTTGCTTGCAATGCTTGTCTTGCATTGTCCGTCTTATGCCGTGTAGGGGTAGTTGGCCTCGGTGGTGAGGCCGCCATTCTTGATGATGAACTTGAAGGCATCGTCCATCTCACCACCCACACAACCCTGATCAACACCAGGAACGTCACAGTCAACTAGCTCTTGTTCCGACAGAGAGACTAGCTTCCCGGAGCTCAACTTCACAATGCCTTCGGTTGCGGCCACAGCTGAAAAGGCCCAGCAGCAGCCTGCAATAATAGTGTTGTCCTTAGTGTGATTTCAGTTATCATGGGAACATGATATATAAACTTGGCCAAACTTCAGAAAGTTTGACTTAAGACAAACCTAATATGCGAACCAAAAATAAACAAAGGGAGTACTACAAAAATTTGCTTACCACATTGGCCTTGGTCTTTGATAGGAGTAACGGCACCCTTGGTTCTCCAATCAACAGCGGCTGGAAGTGCATCGGTGCTGACATTGTTGTACTTGAACCCGGTTGGAGCCTGGCTACCGCTCCTCTTGAGGCCCTTGTTGGTCTTGGTTGCCTTGAACTCATCATTGGTGAGGTCGGTAAACTGGTTGACACTGAGCCAGAACTTGTGGTTTCCGGCGTTGAACGACTCGATGAAGGCAACGTTGGCCTTGAACACCTCATACCGATGTGCCTTCTCGGTGCCGTCCTTGTAAACGCGGTTGAACTTCGCCATCCACTGCTCGTGCCTCTCCACCATGGTCGCGTCGTTGAGCTCGCGAGCTGACATAACAGCACTGCTGCATAAGCAGATGCAGCCTAGAATGGCAAGAAGAAAACCCTTGGGGATGGCCATGATGTGCTTGATTAGTGCTTAGTTGCTGGTGGTTTGGTCTGTCGAGAATGTGTGGAATGCAATGTGTTTATATAGCTGCAGTCCTGCACATGTACGTAGAAGGCATGGTGTGCTCTCGAATGATAGTGTGAAGATGAATAACAACGTAGCGGTGAAGTTAATTAGTAGATGGAATAAATAATCTTGTGATTGTGGGTACGAGTAGTACTTTTAACTTAATTCAGCTCTGGCCCCTGGAGTCAACGGTGGCGTCGAGTATTATAGTACTACCCCTAGTTCCTGCCTGGTGAAAAATTAAAAACGAGAAAAATAAACTGTCGGGCGGGGCAGGGCAATATTGCAGCTATGAAAGTATATATTTTAGAACAGTCCAGACAGAGCGGAGGAGTTTGGCTGATCTGAAAGTCAATAAATTATTCTCTAGTACTCCCGTCAATCTATATGATTTAGTAAAATGTTATACTAAATCGGGGGGTACTTAACTTAGTTTGACCTAAAGTCCATAAAATTATTCTCACGTACTTAGTTAGTTCAAAGATGCATGACGATAACAACAATAAAGAAACAATGAAGCAAAGAAACCATTCGACCTTTTTGGACCGTTATATATTGCATGTAAGAATTGCACAGCCAGACACAGAACAACTCAGCCCACCTCATACAACAGATACTGCCTCTACTGTATAAGAGCTTAGACAACAAAGAAATAACAACAACATAATTAAAAACCGGTCTAACTCAATTTAAACACACAGTGAAGCAACCGCTCGTAATAACCTCCATAAAAAACCTAAACTCTTGACCGAAGAACAGGATGACAAAGCGCGTGTCAGCCTGTAGTAAGTATGAAAATGCACAGGTCCAACCCAGGTTTGACCTACCTAGCGTGTTGATTAATGCTACCTCGGCCATATTTTGTAAAAAAAATAGACACCCTGGAACCAAAAAGACAATTGACCATTTGATCATCGCGTGTCCGTTTAGTGTGGCTTGTTGGCTGAAAGTTGGAATTTCATGGAGTCCGAATCAAACGCGGATTGAGGCCATCCAAGCTGTTAAACAGAGCTTCTTCGGAGACTTACTTTTTGAGATTGTGGGTATTGTTGCCTGGAATATTTGGAAAGAGCGAAACAACTTCATTTTCAGGCACATCAATCCTACTTTGGCCGCTTGGAGAGAGAGGACCAAGTCAGATCTTCTCTGGCTCAAATATAGAGTGGACAAAGCTTTTTGGGACTACATTACACTGTTAGCTCGTTCTTTGTAATTTTATAATCCCTGCTTGATCTCGTTACAAATCTTAAACACTTAGGTTTTTCTTTCTGCTAGTACTTCTTTAGTTTCTTCCTTCCTTGAGGACTCCCATCAATACCTTGTACTATCATGTAAAGTCACCCTATATTTAATATAGCACAGTAGGAGCCTCTCCTATGGTTTCAAGATCAAAAATAAATAAATAAAAAGAAATAGACACCCTCAAAAGTGAGATTTTCGAATTTCTTTTGGTTATTATATGTGCTTTACTGCAGCGTGTGAAAAGCATAAGGTATTCAGATTTTGGATGGAGCCGCTTGAAGATGGTAGTTCGAGCTTTATTTAGCAGATATGAGTGACGGCCTAGTAGTGGAATCATGAGTGGTACGAATTGTTGTGTATTGTTGTACCTTTTTAGTGTAGTGAAATACTATGTATTAACATTCTGTAGTAAGATGGTTGTGCACATTCATTGATCCAAAGATCAGGAACATTCTCTCATTCTGGAAAAAAATGTTCCAATTAATGATTGGATTCAAACAAGATGGGTTTCAGCATAAACATCCTCATAGAGTATTAAGCTTGAAGTCATCCGTCTTCTTTATATATATTGACAGAACATTCACGACTTTACAAACAACAACCAAGGTAGTGTAATGGAAGGTGCATATATATATAGACAAAAGTATGTATATTTCAGCAGTATTTGTAGCTATATGTGGCAATGTACTTCCTCTACTCGGTGGGGTAGGAAGGTTGCATGGCCAAGCCACACATACCACTCTTGTCAGAAATATCCTTCTCCATTCTGAGGTACCCACTCTCGCCCCATGTCGTGCCCCATGAGTTTTTCAGTAGCCAATACTTAGTTCCGTCACTTGTCATGCCATATCCAATAGCTGCTATGCCATGGTCCAAATCAGTCCCACATGAGCCGGTCATTACCCCGCCGGAGTAATGTTGAAATATGACATCCCCTCCGTCCACAGCTACTGACACAGGCTGGTTAGCCACGGCTTTCATAAGAGAAGATTCGTCGTTGGCGGGCACATCCTCGTAGCCCTTGATGGTTGCAACACTGTTGCTTGCAATGCTTGTCTTGCATTGTTCGTCTTGTGCCGTGTAGGGGTAGTTGGCCTCGGTGGTGAGGCCGCCATTCTTGATGATGAACTTGAAGGCATCGTCCATCTCACCACCCTCACAACCCTGATTAACACCATGAACGTCACAGTCAACTAGCTCTTGTTCCGACAGAGAGACTAGCTTCCCGGAGCTCAACTTCACAATGCCTTCGGTTGCGGCCACAGCTGAAAAGGCCCAGCAGCAGCCTGCAATAATAGTGTTGTCCTTAGTGTGATTTCAGTTATATTGGGAACATGATATATAAACTTGGCCAAACTTCAGAAAGTGTGACTTAAGACAAACCTAATATGCGAACCAAAAATAAACAAAGGGAGTACTACAAAAATTTGCTTACCACATTGGCCTTGGTCTTTGATAGGAGTAACGGCACCCTTGGTTCTCCAATCAACAGCGGCTGGAAGTGCATCGGTGCTGACATTGTTGTACTTGAACCCGGTTGGAGCCTGGCTACCGCTCCTCTTGAGGCCCTTGTTGGTCTTGGTTGCCTTGAACTCATCATTGGTGAGGTCGGTAAACTGGTTGACACCGAGCCAGAACTTGTGGTTTCTGGCGTTGAACGACTCGATGAAGGCAACGTTGGCCTTGAACACCTCATACCGATGTGCCTTCTCGGTGCCGTCCTTGTAAACGCGGTTGAACTTCGCCATCCACTGCTCATGCCTCTCCACCATGGTCGCGTCGTTGAGCTCGCGAGCTGACATAACAGCACTGCTGCATAAGCAGATGCAGCCTAGAATGGCAAGAAGAAAACCCTTGGGGATGGCCATGATGTGCTCGATTAGTGCTTAGTTGCTGGTGGTTTGGTCTGTCGAGAATGTGTGGAATGCAATGTGTTTATATAGCTGCAGTCCTGCACATGTACGTAGAAGGCACGGTGTGCTCTCGAATGATAGTGTGAAGATGAATAACAACGTAGCGGTGAAGTTAATTAGCAGATGGAATAAATAATCTTGTGATTGTGGATATGAGTAGTACTTTTAACTTAATTCAGCTCTGGCCCCTGGAGTCAACGGTGGCATCGAGTATTATAGTACTACCCCTAGTTCCTGCCTGGTGAAAAATTAAAACCGAGAAAAATAAACTGCCCGGCGGGGCAGGGCAATATTGCAGCTACGAAAGTATATATTTTAGAACAGTCCAGACAGAGCGGAGGAGTTTGGCTGATCTGAAAGTCAATAAATTATTCTCTAGTACTCCCGTCAATCTATATGATTTAGTAAAATGTTATACTAAGTCAGGGAGTACTTAACTTAGTTTGACCTAAAGTCCATAAAATTATTCTCTAGTACTTAGTTAGTTCAAAGATGCATGACGATAACAACAATAAAGAAACAATGAAGCAAAGAAACCATTCGACCTTCTTGGACCGTTATATATTGCATGTAAGAATTGCACAGCCAGACACAGAACAACTCAGCCCACCTCGTACAACAGATACTGCCTCTACTGTATAAGAGCGTAGACAACAAAAAAAATAACAACATAATTAAAAACCGGTCTGACTCAGGTTAAACACACAATGAAGCAACCGCTCGTAATAACCTCCATAAAAAACCTAAACTCTTGACCGAAGAACAGGATGACAAAGCGCGCGTCAGCCTGTAGTAAGTATGAAAATGCACAGGTCCAACCCAGGTTTGACCTACCTAGCGTGTTGATTAATGCTACCTCGGCCATATTTTGTAAAAAATAGACACCCTGGAACCAAAAAGACAATTGACCATTTGATCATCGCGTGTCCGTTTAGTGTGGCTTGTTGGCTGAAAGTTGGAATTTCATGGAGTCCGAATCAAACGCGGATTGAGGCCATCCAAGCTGTTAAACAGAGCTTCTTTGGAGACTTACTTTTTGAGATTGTGGGTATTGTTGCCTGGAATATTTGGAAAGAGCGAAACAACTTCATTTTCAGGCACATCAATCCTACTTTGGCCGCTTGGAGAGAGAGGACCAAGTCAGATCTTCTCTGGCTAAAATATAGAGTGGACAAAGCTTTTTGGGACTACATTACTCAGTTAGCTCGTTCTTTGTAATTTTATAATCCCTGCTTGATCTCCTTACAAATCTTAAACACTTAGGTTTTTCTTTCTGCTAGTACTTCTTTAGTTTCTTCCTTCCTTGAGGACTCCCATCAATACCTTGTACTATCATGTAAAGTCACCCTATATTTAATATAGCACAGTAGGAGCCTCTCCTATGGTTTCAAGATCAAAAATAAAGAAAGAAAAAGAAATAGACACCCTCAAAAGTGAGATTTTTGAATTTCTTTTGGTTATTATATGTGCTTTACTGCAGCGTGTGAAAAGCACAAGGTATTCAGATTTTGGATGGAGCCGCTTGAAGATGGTAGTTCGAGCTTTATTTAGCAGATATGAGTGACGGCCTAGTAGTGGAATCATGAGTGGTACGAATTGTTGTGTATTGTTGTACCTTTTTAGTGTAGTGAAATACTATGTATTAACATTCTGTAGTAGATGGTTGTGCACATTCATCGATCCAAAGATCAGGAACATTCTCTCATTCTGGAAAAAAAATGTTCCAATTAATGATTGGATTCAAACAAGATGGGTTTCAGCGTAAACATCCTCATAGAGTATTAAGCTTGAAGTCATCCGTCTTCTTTATATATATTGACAGAACATTCACGACTTTACAAACAACAACCAAGGTAGTGTAATGGAAGGTGCATACATATAGACAAAAGTATGTATATTTCAGCAGTATTTGTAACTATATGTGGCAATGTACTTCCTCTACTCGGTGGGGTAGGAAGGTTGCATGGCCAAGCCACACATACCACTCTTGTCAGAAATATCCTTCTCCATTCTGAGGTACCCACTCTCGCCCCATGTCGTGCCCCATGAGTTTTTCAGTAGCCAATACTTAGTTCCGTCACTTGTCATGCCATATCCAATAGCTGCTATGCCATGGTCCAAATCAGTCCCACATGAGCCGGTCATTACCCCGCCGGAGTAATGTTGAAATATGACATCCCCTCCGTCCACAGCTACTGACACAGGCTGGTTAGCCACGGCTTTCATAAGAGAAGATTCGTCGTTGGCGGGCACATCCTCGTAGCCCTTGATGGTTGCAACATTGTTGCTTGCAATGCTTGTCTTGCATTGTCCGTCTTGTGCCGTGTAGGGGTAGTTGGCCTCGGTGGTGAGGCCGCCATTCTTGATGATGAACTTGAAGGCATCGTCCATCTCACCACCCTCACAACCCTGATCAACACCATGAACGTCACAGTCAACTAGCTCTTGTTCCGACAGAGAGACTAGCTTCCCGGAGCTCAACTTCACAATGCCTTCGGTTGCGGCCACAGCTGAAAAGGCCCAGCAGCAGCCTGCAATAATAGTGTTGTCCTTAGTGTGATTTCAGTTATCATGGGAACATGATATATAAACTTGGCCAAACTTCAGAAAGTTTGACTTAAGACAAACCTAATATGCGAACCAAAAATAAACAAAGGGAGTACTACAAAAATTTGCTTACCACATTGGCCTTGGTCTTTGATAGGAGTAACGGCACCCTTGGTTCTCCAATCAACAGCGGCTGGAAGTGCATCGGTGCTGACATTGTTGTACTTGAACCCGGTTGGAGCCTGGCTACCGCTCCTCTTGAGGCCCTTGTTGGTCTTGGTTGCCTTGAACTCATCATTGGTGAGGTCGGTAAACTGGTTGACACCGAGCCAGAACTTGTGGTTTCCGGCGTTGAACGACTCGATGAAGGCAACGTTGGCCTTGAACACCTCATACCGATGTTCCTTCTCGGTGCCGTCCTTGTAAACGCGGTTGAACTTCGCCATCCACTGCTCATGCCTCTCGTTGAGCTCGCGAGCTGACATAACAGCACTGCTGCATAAGCAGATGCAGCCTAGCATGGCAAGAAGAAAACCCTTGGGGATGGCCATGATGTGCTCGATTAGTGCTTAGTTGCTGGTGGGTTGGTCTGTCGAGAATGTGTGGAATGCAATGTGTTTATATAGTTGCAGTCCTGCACATGTACGTAGAAGGCACGGTGTGCTCTCGAATGATAGTGTGAAGATGAATAACAACGTAGCGGTGAAGTTAATTAGCAAATGGAATAAACAATCTTGTGAAGAACAGCGTAGTACTTTTAGCTTAATTCAGCTCTGGCCCCTAGAGTCAGTGGTGGCGTAGAGTATTATACTACCCCTAGTTCGTGTCTGGTGAATAATAAACAATGAGAAAAATAAACTGCCGGGCAGGGCAGGGCAGTATTGCAACTACAAAAGTATATATTTTAGAACAGTTCAGACAGAGTGGAGGAAATTGGCTGATCTGAAAGTCAATAAAATTATTCTTTAGTACTCCCTCCGATCTATATTAATTGTCGCTGATAAATGTTATATTAAATTAGGGAGTACTTAACTTAGTTTGATCTGAAAGTCCATAAAATTATTCTCTAGTACTAGTACTTAGTTAGTTCAAAGATGCACGACGATAACAACAATAAAGAAACAAATAAAGCAAGGAAACCATTGGGCCTTTTCTGATCATGCCCTCACCCACGAGTCACAGACTCACAGTTAGTTCAAAGAAGCAGCGGAGATTGCCGAGGAGACGAACACAGCTGACGGGAAAGGCTCCACGGAGGCGCATTTCATAGCCACTTTCTGGCACGTGACATACAGAAGGGGAAATAATCACCAGTATAATAACTTTTGTGGAGCTGCACAAGAACTATATGTTTGCCTATCGAGTATTTCCAGTGAAGAATATGTTCATTCTTTACAACAAAAACAACAACCAGAAAACAAAAATACCCATTACTGCTATGTACCGTTCATGTCCTCTCTATTTTAGTCTTGCTCAGGGAAAACCCTCTCCAAGAAACTAACGAATCGTTTCGAATACAAGTTCGGATCAACAGATGATATCGAAAGGGGGTCGAACTTGAGCGATTTGACCGCATGCTCTACCCTCTTGGACGTGTTGTACTCCTGCAGTATGTCTATGATGCCGAGGTAGAGCACAACGTCGTACTCCTCGACCGCGTCCGTGCTTTCCAGCAATTTCCGAGCTCGGGCCGGCATGTTCACCCCTAGCTGCACACGGAACCTGAATATAGACGTCACAGGAATCAGAAACACGACTTGTCTTGGTTATTGTAAGTTTTTTAACCATGCAGGACTTTTAACTTTCAGAAAAATACAACTCAAAAAAGTAACTTTCAGAAAAATAAGAGCATAAAACGGAAGTATAACCTTTTTCGTTAACACTTGAATTCACGGACTCGGGACAGTGCAGCAACATATGTCCAAGTATTGGGTAAAACTGTAGAATATTTTAGATGAAGTTAAGAAGATCTACCTGCCGGTGTCTGGCAGAACAAGATCGACTTCTTCGTAACCACCTTCTGATGCTCTAACCATGCTCCCTCTGATGTGGGAACCGCCTACGGTCGTACCTGGCTCGTGAGCAACTAGAAGAAATCCCTTTGAGGAGTTCGCATCCTCACAATGCAGTGGCACGTTACCTGATTAAGGTAAAAAAAAAGACAAACTATCACTCTTAGGCAATAGAAGGAAGCCAAAAGCTGAAGGTAGGGAATTGATACCAATCCAATGAGACTAAGAAACAAAACAGAGTGTACAAGCGTGCAATCTGTTTCAACTTCCGATTTAAGGAAAGTTCACCATTTTAGAGGAACATAAATACTACTCATCTGTACTTGAGGTAGGGTACTGGGTACATACAATCCATTGCAGACGTAATTCCACTGCTTTCGAGTGTATTCTGATGTGACGTGGCAGTCTTCAAGTGATTGGGGGCTCTGAAATGGATTCCCAATAGCATGCTATAGTCAATAATCGATTGGGATTCCAGGAACATACTATCAAGAGCTATCTGCCTGAAAATCGGTTGACAAAAGTAGTTAGCAGTTTGCACTTATCATCAAATTGTCAATTGTTGAATCATATGTTTATTAATGTTCAACGCTTCATGTCCTAAAAGGAGATTTCAAGGTTTCATAAGCAACGATGGTTTCCTATGTTTGAAACTGGTTCCAGAAAAAACAATACAGCAGAAATGGTGCAGTAATATGTCAAGCTCAACTACAGAGATTCCATACACCCAATCTACCATCAATTTTATGCATGCGCTGAGCAACACCTCGATTAAATAAATAATTACTCTTGGAAACATGTAGTATGATTCTTTTAATCGGCGGCAACACAAGGGTTCCTTGCTAGTACTTGCACACATAATGTTTTCTCTTTTTAATATCCCTCATCCATCCAAACAATACAAAAATAAAGATCAAAGACCTACCATGTGCGTGCGTCTTATATTGAGAAAAAAATAGTTTTTCATAAAATAGTAGTAAACAATCGGTAGATACAGAGATTCAGGGGCTGAAGTAGCAATTTAATTCATATCATTTAGGAGTACTTTCTTTGGTATGTACAGGGACCCATTGGAACAAATTTCTAAAATGTGAAGTCGTAAAATATAAGGGTTGTGAACTCTTAAAGCTACCACCACAGACAAAACAAGAAAATAAACTATAGAAATATGGAAAATATACAGATCAACGAAGGAACAGCCTACCTGAAAAGCGCTTGCCTCCACGATTTATCAACATGAAATGCATGTGCTAGGTCAAGATCCTTTAATGTTGTGTTCTCATTAATTTTTTGCTTTTTTGTTGACCGGCCCTGTGTAGATCCCTTCAAGTCGTACTTACGGTGAATTCGCAGCTCAGTGCAGAACATATTACCCATCACAACAAAACGGACCTGCAATAGCACCATAGATGGCAATAACTATGGCAAATGCATATGATCTGAACTACAATAGTGCACCAAAAATATGACCATGTACCTTTTTTCCAGCTTTTAGCGTAATCCTGTGCACGCCAAAAAATTTCGTAATGAGAGTATTATCATAAGCTTTGACATGATTGTAATATTTTGGAAGCATCTTCAACAGTATCTGCAGGACGTATTACATCAAACCAATCTGCAGTAGGCATATCTTATCACTCAACAAGGGAGACAGTTTTTTTTCGGCGGTAAAGCTCACTTTTACCGTTTATTCATATTTTAATTACTGCAAGAAACAGAATTCCTGGTTGCAAATGTAAACAGGGAAAACATACTCATAAAAAATCTTAAGGACCATACCTTCAGTTCACTTTTTCTCAATGTTTTTATAACAAATCGTTCGTCCTGGGAAAGATAGAAAATACTGCCACTTTTCCCAGGTGAAGAAAGCTCCTTTAGACTATCACCCCCACATATGGACATCATGTAATCTGCGGCATCAATATGAAACATTTCCCGAAGATTCCTAGCAAACATAGGTTTGTCACTTAGAAAATGATTCATAGGTTTGTTACTTAGAAAATGATTATCTTTGGAGAAAATCAAAGAAAGCAGAAGACACTATCAAGGTTCAGGGTTGATGGAATTTTTTCTTCAGTCTGTGTCATCCGGCATTGTTTCAACAAATATGATACATGCACTATTACAGTTTATACTCTGAATAAACAAAAACAGTTGAATTGTGAAACAGTTAGAAATGTGCAAACTATTATTCGTGGCACACACTTCAGCATGAGTGGCGGTCTTTATGCTGTGTCTCCTTCCGACCAGCCACAGTACTTCATGAACATTTTATAAGAAAACTTCATGAATGTTGTGACCATGAGTTTCTCGCTTGTTTCTGGAACGGCGGCAACTTATTTGTTTGAGATTTAGTACTATTTTTTGTGCTTATAGAAACAGGGTGTCTAACCCTTCTGCTTCTTCTTAGTTCAGATGATGAATTATACATTCAAATTAATTCCTTCATCATTTTCTACGTCAGTTAGGGAATGGTGAACCAGGGAGAAGCACACAAATATTTAACTGTGGATGAGTGAGACATAGATTTAAAATCCAATCAGAGGAAATAATAAGAGTGCACTAGTAATTATAAATTAATGTACACTTTGCAAATTGGAAAGAGACGTACCGGAAGACCATAGGACAATAATCTTTCCAAAAGAAATTGACAGAGCAGTGTGGAGGGGTATACTGCGAGCCTTCACAAGGGAAGTACATTATTATCCGGGCCCTAGGTCCAAAATCATTTGAACGAACTTCACGTAAAGGTACAGGGGTGATTTTACCCACGGTATACCTGAAAATCATTGTTGTCTGGTCAATCAGTAGCTAATGGAACATCACTAAACG